CAAAAGCTCAGAAAGGACCATTTTTAGATATTAAGCAAGAATCTAAATAGGAGACTTGCCTCTTTAAATATTCTGTCAGGCAAGATATAATCTCTATACTGATATTGAGGCTGGATTTTATTCTGTCTTCAATATCTAAATGGAAATGTTTTATAGATGTGAAACAATGTTTTTTAAACTTAATTATTCTGTTCTATCCATTAATAAATGTCTTCTATGAGATTCAAGGAAGGATCCTCCTTTCTCCAGCTCCAGGAGATATTCCTACTTCTAGACCTCTATGTACTTAAAATGACAACAACAAAAATATCAAAATAAAACTTCTATGAATATCTCTTGCTTCTTCATTCAGTGAACTTTTATTGAGTACCTACTACCTATAGAAAAGTCCAAAGACCCATTAATTCAAGGTTCTTACCTTCAAGTAGCTAAAGACATAGTACTCTGTAGAGTCACAAGACATTGAATTCTTATGAGGAGTACCCATGACCTAGAACTGGGATTGACAAAGAATAGGCACTTAATAAATATTTGTGAAATGACAGAGCAAAATACAATGATAAGGATGCCCAGGCAGGGTGTGATGAAAGCACAGGTGAGACAGGATCCCTAATCCACATGGAAGGGCCCCAGATGAAGTCAAAGGAAAGAGGGAGGCAGCCACCAGTCATTAAGGGACAGGGAATCATGGCAGTGTAGGGTTGCAGGGAAGTCACGTATGAAACAGAAATTGTCTGGAATTAAGATGTGAAAGGCAGGTGGGCATGAGGTCCTGCGGGTCCTTGTGGTCAGAGATCAAGTTTAATTTTATGCATTTACCTGGATAGTTGTTGACTAGGTGAGTCTCAATCGCATAAATTCTTTCTCCTGTACTCTATGGATGCAAATGGACACCTTCTTTAAAATAAGAAGGGACAATTAAGTAAAAAGATCACACAGAGTAGATCAAACTTTCCACTGACTAAAAAGAACATCCCTGCTTTTCCCTGTATTGCTGAGCTTTGTTTACTTAATCATGTTCCACTCTTGGTCACAGTTCTCCAGTGTCCATTATTTATTTTATCTATCACTTGAGTTTTTTCTCACTCCCCATTAGTAGCTTCTCAGACTTAATGTTTGTTCATTTTTAGCACAAGAGGCACATATTTACAGTTGAGCAAGCCAGAGAAAATAACATAAAAAGTTAACAATTCCAGAGAGAACACTGAAATAACAAGTCAGCCTTTTGTTCATTTCTTTTTCCTAGCAATGCACTGGTTTCATGCTGTAATCTCATCACACTTTTTAATTATGTGAGCTCTCTCATCTGTGGTCCCTAAGTACTTTTTTCAGATCCTTTATGAACAGCCATAGGTGCTCATTCTTATTTTATATGTGAGGGAAGTTGGTATCATTCAACAAGTGGAAACCTAGAAAAAGTCATTACAGGACTGGGTGCTACCAGAACCTCCCATTGCCCCACAGGGCCACTCTGCTTTGCAGCAGTGGGGGCTGGTAAAAGGTATTTGTGTCTGATGCTTCCATACCTTAGACAGACGTGGTAACTCCTTTAACTTATGTATTTCTCTGAGGAATGTGCACTCGTATGCAAGAAGTATAGTAGAAGCTGCTGGAAACTCTAATATTTCCCACTTTTTGGTGGCTCTGTTTCATGAAATGTAGTTCAAAGTAAGGATATCTTATAAACTGTGATAAAGAATTTGTATTTTATATTGAGGACAGTATGAAGTCATGGGCACACATGGAAGAGTTAATATGATCAAATTTGTGGTTGAAAAATAAAAAGCTCCAGCTGCAATGAAGAAAATGGACTGGAGTCGGGTAAGGAAGACATCTAGACCAGTGTAAAGGCTGTTAAAGTAATCTAAGCTTGAAGTAATGGTGGCCTAGATCAGGATAATGCACTGTAGAGTGTTTTTGAAGTTATTTCAGAGGAAGAGCTGGGCAGGAGTGAGTGATTGATTGGGTGAGAAGTTTAAGAGAGAGAAAGGAATCAAAGAAAACGTCCAGTCAAAGGACTAGGCAACTGGTTATCTCTTTGAGATAGAGAACATGTGGAGAGGGACAGGTTGGTGGGCAGAAGGAAATGAGTTTATTTTCTCTAGTATTTTACATTAATCACAAAATATGTGCATACATTTGATAGAAATGTTGAATCTTTAGATTTTTCAGAAGTTAAAAAATGTACTGCAAATCTTTGAGATGAGAAAACTTCTGCATTATGTGTTGTTTCTCATCCAGATCTTTTCCTATTTCATTCATTTAGATGTTGTGCTAAAGTAAGGGGTAACATACTAAGGCTTGTGGGTTCAATTTACACTGATACATGGTTTTGTGTGTTCCACAAGGTAATAATGGTTTTTATAATTTCAAATGGTTGGGGAAAAAATTAAAATGACTATTTCCTGACAAGTGGAAAATATGTACAGTTTAAATTTCAGTTTGCATCCATAAATTTTATTAGAACACACCGATACACATTCATTTACATATTGCATATGGCAGCTTGTGTCTTCCAACCACAAAGTTGAATAGTTGCAACAGGGACCTTATTATTATTTTTTTTCAATTTCTTTTAAAAATGCAATAGCATTCTACTTGAGGGATCCTGTAGTTTTGGTTGGGTTTTCAGATTTATGAGCTGTGTCAGCCACCAGATGCTCCAATGTAAAACTTATTAATGCACTTAATTAGTATTGACTTTTCCCAATATTTATGATACCAGAGAAATATGAAAGTGTATTTCAGAGGAGGTATAGTTAATCCAGGTGGAAGAAAAAATTGAGATGGCATCTTAGCTGGGTTTATCTTTATGCTAACATTAAAAAAAATAATAGCAAATGCTTTCTCTGGGCAGCTTCAAGTTGCAATATCATTAGGAATACAGCAATATTTCATGTTACAGTAAACTTTATTAGAATGTGTTAGGTAGTGAGGTGATGCTATGCACTATATGGTAACTGTTATAGTTGAAATTGGTTTGCAGTCATGCTTCAGCCTATTTGCTTTTAGAAAAAAATAACTTTATCCAACCAACCATAGTAATAACTATTTTTCAAGTAGCATTGCATACTATTTTCAGGATTATAAGTAAGGCCTGATACTATGAGGCAGATTTTTCTGCTGCATACAAAGGATGGCACTTGTATATACACTCGTACAGATTGCTTAAAGTAATATATTAGAAAGTATATCAGATACTGATTTCTTTTCTTAACGTGTTTCTTTAGCCAGTTAACAATAGCAGATCTAATAAGCATTACCTTTTGACTTGGAAACTCTTGTATCCATTAACATCTGTTTTAAAACATGATTTTTTGTTTCAGAGCTTAAGAATCACTGATATCATATTGACAGGAGGGGCATAATTCTTTTTTTTTTTTACTTCAGAATATTACAGGGGTAGAAATATTTAGCTTACATGTATTGCCTTTGCCCTGCCCAAGTCAGAGCTACAAGTGTGCCCCTCCCCCAGTCAGTGTGCACAGCACCCATTAGGTGTGCATATACCCATCCGCTTTCCCCTTCCCACCTGCCCTACACCCGATGAATGTTACTACCATATGTACACATTAAGTGTTGATCAGTTAGTACCAATTTGATGTGAGTACATGTGGTGCTTGTTTTTCCATTCTTGTGATATTTCACTTAGTAAATTGGGTTCCAGCTTCTATCCAGGGTAATACAAGAGGTGCTGGAGATCATCATTGTTTTCTGTGGCTGAGTAGAAATCCATGGTATACATATACCACATTTTATTAATCCACTCTACATGAGGGACATAATTCTAATATACACAAGTATTGAAACTGTTGACCATGAAATAGTCTTAAGTGGAAGCTGTTTAATCCTCAGCTTCTTTTTATTTCTACTAACGATCAAATGTAGCATCACTTTGGCCTATTGCTTTGATTATTTTAGTCTTGCTATTTTATTTATATTGAAATTCTAAAAAACATTAGAACAACTAAGATGTATTTGTGTTTATTCAAAAAGAATATAGATTAAAGCAGATATTGAGAATCATTGCTGTATTCTATAGATGGGCTAACTATGGTTTCCTGATCAAAAACCATTGTCATTTATGTCACTAGTTCATTTCCCTAGTCCCTGAAATATACCAACCCTTCTCTTTCTACATGTGGGTTAGTTTTATAAGCTTATCTCATATCCCCTACTTGTGTATTTATGGCTCCTTTTGTTTTCTCCCAAATGGTAAACTCTGTTTGCATGGGCTGAATAAATTCATGGAGCACCATGTACAGTATCCAAGACAATAATTGGGGACTATTTTGTGAACACTCTGCAGCCTCAGATATTGCCTGATTCCTGAATTGATAGGTATTGCTGGTGTTAAAGACCCAATACATTCCTGAATTGAATTCTCTGTTTCTAAGATCTGCATAGCTCTTCTTCCTATTCCTCCACTCCCATCCAATATGCCTCGGTGTTTGACCACTGCTTTCCATTCCCAGCTTTCTTTTGACTGGCCTTCCCAGTTGTGATGTGGTAAATGATTGAAGTTAGAATTCTGAGTAAAATCTTTAAGAGCTGGGCATTAGACTTTGTGGAGTGCCTACTATATACCATGTACTTTACACAGGTTAAAGTCAAGTTCATATAATTTTTATAACCATCTTTTAAGGAAAGGATGATTATATCCAAATGAAGAAAAGAAACTTAAGGGGGTTGATGTTTTGACCGACTAACAAATATAGAGTCTGACTTCAACTTGGGTATGTGTGGCTTTAAAGCCTGTGATTTTTCCATGTTAACTGCCTTTCTCTCCAAGAGAAAGATAATATACAGTGAAGACTAGAGAGGAAAGAAATATGCCTTAGAAAAGAATTATCAGTGTAGTCGAGTTGGGTGAAGTGAGGCTCATGAAAGTACCTAGTTGCTGGGCCAACAGGCACATTTTATTCTGTCTCTCTTTTTTTTTTTTTTTTTTTTTGCTTTTTTTCTTATTCTGCAAATATTCTCCCTGGAGACCCTCCACCCATACTGTCTGCAGGGGACTTAGACACAGCCTACTCACATCTCAAGCAATCAAGCGTCCATCACATTTCTCGATTCTGAATCATGGACTTGCTGTTCATGGAGTGTTTCATTTCAGAAAGAAAGTGTCTTGCAAAATATTGTAAAATGAAGTTCTTCTTATTTACTAGGCCAACTAACTGAAAGTAGAATACTTATTTTTGCTAGACAGCATTTCTTTGAAGTTGATGTGTTTAGGTGCTATCTCAGGGAACCAGCACTGTAGCTGTTTACCACACTTCCTGAGGCAACCTTGTGCGAGGGCTAGAGAATTTTAACAAGTGTCTTGACTTTCCCTGCACCTGGAGATTAATGTGCTGGTGAAAACTTTATGAACCCTTAATCATTCATAGCAAACATATCGGATCCTCTGAAGCTAAAAGCTTCAGCATTCATAATTAAGAGACAACAGAATAGGACCATATAAATATGAAAATGACCTCCGAGAATATTTAATAAACTTTCTTTTTTCTTTTTCATTTAAGTTGTGGGCACTTGAATTTTGAACAGAAGTATAATTTCTTAGTTTTAAAAATCAAACATAAAATTATCCCCATTTTTAGGATGAGAATGAAAGACATTTTAAACTACTTCTAGGTAATCTCATGAACATAGATTGCATCCCTTTATAAATATATTAGTTACTGCCACTAATGGTTGTCCCCTCCTTTCCCTGACATATATTATCTTCTGGTTCAAACAATATAGAATTGTATTAGAATAGTGTATTCATTTGCTAGGATCGCTATAACAAAGAACTATGAACTGGGTGGCTTAGCAGAAAGGCCAGAAGATTGGGATGTCAGCAAGGTTGGTTCCTTTTGAGGGCTGTGTGGGAGAATCTGTTCCAGAATTCTCTCCAACTTTCTGGTGGTTTGCTAGCAATTTCTGGTGTTCCTTGGCTTCTGCTATATCACCCTACTCCCTGCCTTCATTACATTCATGTCACATGGCATTCCCCCTGCATGCGTGCCTGTGTCCAACTTCCCCCCTTTTTATAAGGACACTAGTCATATCGGATTAGGGACTCGCCCTACTGTGATGTGACCTCTGTGACCTCATCATTACTTACTAATTACATCTGCGATGACCCATATCCAAATAAGGTCACATTCTGAGGAACTGTGGGCTAGGACTTTAACACAAGAATTTTAGAAAAACACAGTTTCCAATTAGCAGATGGTATAGGCTATTCTGTGATAACAAATGACTCCAACATTCCAGTGGCTTAAAACAACAAAGGTTTATTTCTCTCTCAAATTCCAGTGACAGTCTTGGTGATTCTTCCATCCCCTTGTCCATGGCTCAGTGTTGAGCTTCCATGTAGCACCTGCCTCCATGAACTCCAAGGTGAGAGAAGAAGGCACTGGAAGGTCTGGAACCAGCAAAACAGAACGTTTCTACTGGGAATGACTTATGTCCTGTACTCAAATTTTATTGGTTGAAAAGTCAAAGAGGCAGAGCAATGTAATTCTTCCTGTTTTGCAAAAAAGAGGAGAATCAGAAATACTGATAAGACAGTATGCATTCATTCACATATCTTTATCTATAGATTAATATTTAAAAATGCTGGACATCTATTTTGAAGTCTTGACAAGATTTGTAACTGTCTGGCTAAATATGGTTATTTTCCTACGACTTGAAATGTTGAGCCATTTAATAGACTTCCTTTCTACTTCTCCCTCACCCAGGGAGGATTAATTCCTAAAATGAAAAGGGAAGGTAGATCTGTATGAGCACAAGCTACGCTGGTTTATATTTTGGGGCATATTTATTGGCTATACAATGGTAATACACATACACAGGTAACAATGGTACGAGGCTGAAAAAACATGCATATGGGGCTTTCTCTGATCAACTTCACATTTTTGTAGAAAGGAGAGTTTCAAAGGTACCATATCAGGACTGTGATCACACAAACTGCTCAGGGGAGACATGAATACATAGTGATTGTCTATGGTCTTTAGCTGGAAGGAATTCCAGAGTAAATATCTTATTTAACCCCTCTCTTGCCAAAGTGCCTCCCACTTGCACTTTATCAAATTGTCCTGTTTATCTCCTTTGTAGCATTTACCAGCTCGGATATCTTCTTATTTATGTGTTTGCTTGCTTCTTACATTTCTTGCCCTTTATTGCACATCCTCATCTCCTCTCTCCCAAATATTAGTGCACGGAGACACCTATCTTTTTTTACTGATAACTTCAGTGCTGAGAAAAATATCTGCCTGATACTGAAGCAAATACTGTATTGACTCAATAATTATAATAAGTATAGCATTTAAAATAGTATCATAATGGTGAAAGGCAAGAAATTGGGGAATATTCTATCCTTGTTAGGGTCTTGGTAATGGGAATTAGAAGCTTACAAAATAAACATTTATAATGCTTTCAAATCAACTTGGTTTTCTTTCCTAGATTCCATGGTATGTATATTTCTCCTGAGGTCTCTTATGACAACATACTATTTATTGTGAAAATATATTCATTTATCTTATTTTCTAGAAACAATACATTTGTATTCAAACATATATGCCATCTCGTTACGGCTGAGTTATTCTATTCCAAAGGGCCTATCATTTAAAACTTGTCATCACTCTCTTTGTAGGATAATTTGGGCTGAATGAATTTGGGTAGAAACCATTCAATAAAATGATTCCTTTCTCAATTATTTTATGTTGTGAATTTTATTACTGATAATTTTTTAATGAAGAAGTTGTGCATGTATTTTTAAGTGTATACCTTGATTAAAATAATCTTTTTTTAAAAACACTTGAGTTTTATTTGATGTTTAACAAAAGACAAAAGCATTTTTTGACTTAATTTTTCTCTAACAGTAGACTGTAACTGAAACAATTGTAAAAAGATTCATTGACTCAAATGAAAACAAATGACTTTAACAATAGAATTATAGTGCAATACAACCCAAGACTCTCCATGCACTATTGCTTTGTTTGCATAGATGAGTTTAGAGAAATTACTGTTTCTGGGGTTTTTTACTTTGTAATTGTCAGTGTGTCCTAACTTTTAACGTCAAATTATGACAGTGTCATGTTTTGATATTTTGCGTGCACTATATCCTCCTTTAATATTTCCTTAGAAGCTGTTTCTTGGATATTACTTTAGGATGTTCTGATACAGTTAAGGCCCAATCTTTGTAATTTAGAATTAGTGCTATTAGCCTTTCCAGTTTAACATTATGTTATCACATTGTATTCTAGATAAATGGCAGACCCTGAATTTGTGCCATGTGGTGTCTAAATTTAGGTTTAAATGAGCAAGAGTGTGGGAAGTAAATCACATAGAGACTTCTAACTTAATGGCATTTGTTCACATTTCAAGTTGTTCTTCTCAGGACTGACTCTGTTCTGTTGGTTTCTAATGTGTGTTTGCTGTTATCTGCTCCATCATCCTCTGTCTCCATTGCGGGGCTGAAATAACTTGAAGGCATCCCTGGTGGCACCTTTCCTATAGCACAATGTCTAGTTGGCTTCTATACAGAATTCTATCTTTGCTTTTGCTCATTCAAAAGCCCAGTTTCTTGTTATGAACTGTTGTCATTGTGATGGATTTTCTGACCTTGAGGGGCTGTGGCAGGCAAGTTGATGTCATGCTGTCTTTTGTGCCTCTGTTTTTTGACTGGATAAATGGTCTTAATTACTGCTGGTTCTTCAACCTTGGGGAAAACTGGCAGTATTATCAGTGTGTATAGTTGACAGTTTGGAAATAGAGAATATTTGGCCATAATATTTTAAGTTAAAGGCTTAAATTCATATGGTTTTCCAATTAATTTATACAATAAATTTGTATTTATTATATACAAAAATATACAAATTTTATACAATAAATTTTTGTTAAAAATCCACAATCATTTAAATTTCCTCAATAGATTTGCTGCATTTATTATTAGATTTAATGATAATGACAATTATTTCAAAGTCACTCTGTTATCCGTGATGAAATGCCATAAGGTAGCACTAATAAACATAAATATTACTAAGGGTATTATTTAAGTTTTTCAGTGAAAAGAAGTCTTGATATATTGAAAAACATAATGACTATTTTGATAACTGTCTAGAAGTGAAAGCGATCAGAGTCAATATCTTCCTGGAAGTTTATGGCCAAAAAACACACTTTAGGGCAAAATCCCATCAATTGTATTTCTATATTGATCAGATAAACTGAATAATTAATATTGCCCCTCTTTTTGTGATATATTCCGCCTTCTTACAATTCAATATTAGTCTTATATTCCTTATATAATATTTACATAAAAATAGTTTTTATATATTATATTTTTTCTGTTTGTCTAAAAAGTTTTATGTCACAAGTTTTTTAAAAATATATGTATCTTGCATATTGATATAATTATAACTGATTTTGATATTATAATATGCATATGAACATAGAATTAGAAATTGGTTGTATAGAAAACTTTATAAAATAAGGGATCCACAAGTGATTCCATTCTTTTGTTCCCAATATCTCTAAAACTTAGCCTAGCACCAGTAAGGAGTAGATACTTAGTAAACACTTACTGAATAAATCTTTCAGTGATGGATTCAAAACTGTGTGTGGTTTTGATTTGGTTTTTGGTTGGCGGGGGGTTTGGTCCTCAAGAATCTTTTATCTGAAAAATGTGTAATAATAGTGCCACAATTTATTTTTATTAGAATACATAGTAGTCTGCAGTTTAATAACTGGCCGAAACTAAGTTCTAGCCTTGGTCCTGCCACTAAAAAATTCCAAGTAAGATGTGAATATAACCAGCACAGTAGTTTGCAAAATCGTCTGGGAATTTTTCTCATGATACAGATTCCTAGACCCTTCCCTTGATGTACTGATTGAAATCTTCAGAGTTGTGCCAGAGAATGTTTAAATCTCTCTGGGTAACTGTGATATTGTCAGACTAACAACTTGCATTTAGAAACCAATGAACTAGAAAATCTCTAATTTCTTCCAACTTTAAATTTCAGTAAAGGTACTATTTATTTTCTGCTTTTAATTTGATAGACCCATCCAGTCCTACAAGTGGACAGGACATTTTTTTTTCAGGCTGGCCTTTATAATTCTACCTTGTTTTAGTTATATGTTGATAAATAACAGAATTGAAACACCTTAGAGCTGAAAGGAAGCTGAAGGATGTTTCCTTTCATCCCTTCGCTGCCCACAGAAATCCCCTTTTCAGATTTATTTGCATATTATGTCAGTCTCTCTAAATTGATGTCAGACTTCTCTAAATCAAGGGGGTTTAAATTTTTTTTATTCTAGGTTTATTCCATCTCTTTACTAGGAAATGGTTGTCCTATTGCTTACATTTGGGTCGTGATTAATACTATCGATGCTATCTGCTGAGCACTCGTTTCTGGGGTCATCTAAAGGAACAAAACATAAGCTTTCTCAATCAAAAGTATCCATACAGATGAGTAAAGAGGCAACTACAAAACAGCATCATCAGTGAGAGATAAGGGGAAAGCACAAAGGTTAGATGAAAATATATAGGAGAGATACTTACACTAATCTTAGGAAGGGACATGAGGGCTTTCCAGAGAGCATGACAGATCACCTGAGACAAACAATGAATGAAGATAAGGACGTAGATAACCTCAGAGGCAATAAAAACTCTTACAGTGCATTGCAGTCATCATAACTAGTTGAGTGTGGCTGTACATTCAAGTAAGATCCCTTGAAGATCCATGTGTTCTAGAAATTAGAATTAGAGCAATGTTACTTCTGCCAAGCTTAAATCTACTAAGGTTGCTACATAACATTTTGGCAAGTGTTTCATGACACTCTAATATTTAAATTTAAAGCTTGAAGCCAAACGGATTAAGTAAAGATGGCTTCTTAGGCAAAAACTTTTTATTTCTTAATCTTACATTAATAAAACCTTTCTTTATATCTGTGTTTGTGCATGATAGAACTTTGGCGCCAATGTGGTTTATATCTGAAGAAGTGATACTGGCTGGCTCAGTTACCTGGACTTAGCAACAAGGGTCTGAACTCTGGGCCATGTGCATATTCCCTGGGCAGCTCATTGCAAGCCTGATTTAATTAGCCAATGTGGAACCACATGACCCATCTCTGATGATTTCTTTTTAAAATTTTTGCTTACTGAAAAATGAGACACGCATTACACTTAAATTGTATTTAGTGACAGCTTTCCCATGTCAACATCAAGAATTATTCTAACACCTTTCTCTCAGGTCATTAGTCATTAGTCAGTTTAAAATTTTCTGTTGCTCTTTCTATGAATTTTTAAAATCAGAAAAAAGTTTTAAAACCTGTAAATTAAAAAAAAAATCTTATAATATCTAGATAATTGAATCGGCAATCATGTTTTTCCTTCTGAAATTTTAGATATAAAAAACAATTTTTCTTTAATAAATAAATGCTTTTGAAAAGGTTAAGTAATTTAATCTTGTTACATTAACTTTGTAATTCACTGATTTCCAAAAGGGTGCCTATATACTGTTCTAATATATAACTATGCCACATAATAGATTCAGTCTACCATTATCTTCTAAACGATATATGGAAAATTGAACACTAAAGGAAATCTCAGAGATCAGCTAGTTCAAGCCACTGTCAGAAGACAGTGAGGCCCAGAGAGATTTGATGATTCACTTTAAGTCGTACTTGTTAAAATGTATCTATCATCATTGCCAGCCTAATGTTCCCAAGTCAGCTTTCTCTGCTCTGATGCAATACTGACTGAAAAAAAAAAAAAAATCATACCTTTATAACCTTATATCATGCTTGTTTTATCTCTTCTTTTCATTTCCAAATTTGCATTGTCTCATCTTTACATTCCCATTGGCTGGGCATGCAGTTGGTGCAGATATTTGTAACTGAACTGAAATGGATAAACATGAAGGAACATAAGAAATTTAGGTAATCTTACGTAATACATCAAGCATTTACATATCATTCAACCCACAAGCCATGCCATCTTATGTAGATACATTTGATGGAAAGAAATAAGAAAAATCAGGATAAATGCTTCAACAGCTGTCAATGTTAAATAATCCCTTAAAGCTGTGAAAGCCTTCATTTGCTTTCAAGAGTTGTGACATATGGTCAGAAATGGCTTGAAGATTTATGTCATCTCTGTTGGATGAGATTCAAAATATACTTTAAGAAAGATTCCATCCTTCATTATCCTTGAAAAGATCCTTCAGAACTCATAGAGCATATAGAAAGCAGACGGAGAATTATGAGGTTCAGATGCCTAAAAATGACACTCTCTAATCAGGATTGCCAACCTATCACAGAAAATTACTAGAAAAAAAATGCAGGTTTTCTACTGATGCTACACTCTTTAACACTGACATCTCATTGACCTAAGGAAGCCCCTGGTGTAGGTAAGACTTGACTTATTCTTCTCCAATGTTACAGGTAGGATTGGAAAGCAGATTTTAAAATTATATTTTTAAGAAGCGGTCATTCTTTTATACTTCAAGAATTTAACCTTAAAGATGAAAAAGCGAAGAAACTCAAGTTAGCCAGTGGATTCTAGCTTCTGTAAAAGTTATAAGGAAAAAAGCCCACTTAAATTTTATAAAAATTGAAAAAAAAAAAAAACCTAAGGAATAAAAAAGAAATGCTGAGTACATATAAATGAAAGAGCAAAAGAACAACTGGAGTAAAACATTACAGGAAAGAGGTCACCTAACTTAATAAACTCTCCTGGGTACCAGCAGAAGTAATCAAGCCTACTGTGTATAGAAGAAGAAATGTATCAAAGGGAAAACCCTACAAAGCGACTTCACTAGTCCTGGCAGTGTCTCCACTTCACCTGTGTTCTTCCCTTTCCTCTCCCCTGCCCTCTGCCCTGTTGCTGCTCTACTTTCCTGTTATTTGCCTCCCAAGGCTTCAAAATACTGCTAACCACATTTCTAAAGGCCTCCTGACATATGACAGTTTGTGTATGAATCATAGTATTTAAGAATTAGGACAATCTTTCTTGTTCAAAGTAGAATAAATTGTGCTCCAATTTCAGGTGCTTATGAAAAATACACTGTGCAAAAGCGAATTATGTAACCAAAACGTATGTACCTCCTTAAAATGCTGAAAAAAATATATATTGTACTTTAACGTGAATATTATTTTGCATAAATCCCTCCAGCCATCACATTCTGGGACAACTTTCACATTAGAAATTAAATTACATACTGTATAATGTGTAATGATTTTAGGCAAATACCTGATTTTCTCCTACTTGGAATCAAATAAAATATTATAAAATATTAGGTAGCCACAATGTTAGACCCCAGCATGGGTGCTTACTTGAAGAGGAGAAAGAAATAATGTCTAAAGATCTGTGTTTAATGGAAGTCTGCCAGAATGGCTACCACGAGTCATCTGGTAGACCAGAAGAACGGGTGAACATGGATTCTATTAAATATTGCCAGAGCTGGACATCTGGACCTTCAGTTGTTCTGGATGCAATCTGGGCATAAAGCATTGTTCCTAGTGTGATCCGATTACCAGATCCACTTAAAGTTAAAAGGTTCTTGTCTCTGCTGAGAGTTGTGATTTGTTTTTTGACAGTAGACCTTTATCAGAGTTTATTGTAGACATCTCATTAGTCAGTTTTGGCATGCTACTCTGAACCAATGTTGAACTTTGTCAATTGAAATAGATACCATGTTAGGACCTGAATGACAACATCTCTAATTAACATGATTCACACTCTGGAAGGCCTTTTGACATACTGTTGCTTTGCAAGTAAACTCCTCTACTTTTTTTTTTCTTTTTCACTAATAAACTGAGAAGCCATCAGCCAAAGATGGTCTTCTATCAATTCTCAAACATACCAAGGTTTTTAAAAATAATATCTTATATTTGTATTATCAGCAAAAAGAAAATTTTATTTTTTTCTTTCCTATGCTTGTATCAATTATTTATTTTTTTTCAATTTCAGCATATTAAAGGATATTTCAATTTCAGAATATTAACCAAACATTTTGGTTACATATAATGCCTTTGCCTAACCCAAGGTAGGGCTACAAGCATGACCTTCCCCCATACAGTGCACTCTGCATCCATTACATGTGAGTTTATCCACACCCACCATCCCCCTCCCACCTGACCAGCACCCAATACATAATACTTCTATGTGAGCACCTTAGTGTTCATCAGTCAGTACCAATTTGATGTAAGTATATGTGGTGCTTGTTTTCTTGTGACACTTAACTTCAAAGGATGAGCTCAAGCTCTATCCAGGATAATACAAGAGATGCTAGATCACCATTGTTTTTTGTGGCTGAGTAGAGCTCTATGATATACATATACCACATTTTATTAATCCACTCATGTATTGATGGGCACTTGGGTTGTTTCCACATCTTTGCAATTGTGAATTGTGCTGCTGTAAACATTTGAGTGCAGATGTCTTTTTTATAGAATATCTTTTGTTACTTTGGATAGATGCCTAATAATGGGATTGCTGGATCAAATGGTATTTCTATTTTTAGCTCTTTGAGTTATCTCCAAATTACTTTCCACAGGGGTTGTACTAATTTGCATTCTCACCAGCAATGTAAGAGTGTTCCTATCTCCCCACGTCCATGCCACCATTTGGTATTTTGGGACTTTTTGATAAAGGCCATTTTAACGGAAGTTAGGTGATATCTTGTTGTGGCTTTGATTTGCATTTCCCTAATGATTAGAGATGTTGAGTATATTTTTATATGTTTGCTGGCCATTATTCTTTTTTGAAAAGTTTTGGTTCATGTGCTTTGCCCACTTTTTAATTGTGTTGTTTGATTTTTTCTTGTTAATTTTTTAAGTTCTATATAGATTCTTGTTATCAGCCCTTTATTGGATGTGTAACATGCAAATATTTTCTCCCATTCTGTAGATTGTCTCTTTGTTCTCATTATACTTTCCTTGGTTGTGTAAAAACTTTTTAATTTGATCAGGTCCCATTTATTTATTGTTGTTGTTGCTGTGATTGCTTTGGGGTCTTCATCATAAATTCTTTTTTAAGCCTGTGTCAATAAGAGTTTTCTCTACATTTTCTTTAGAATTCTTGAGGTTTCATACCTTAGGTTTAAGCCTGTCATGAATTGATTTTTGTGAGAGGTGAGAGATGGGGATCCAGGTTCAATCTTCTGCATGTAGTTATCCAGTTTTCACAGTCATTTATTGAATAGACATTATTTACCCCAATGTATATTTTTGTCCGCTTTATCAAAGATTAGATGACTATATGAGGATGGTTTTATATCTGAGCTTTCCGTCCTGGTCCAAAGGTCTGTATCTCTGTTTTTGTGCCAATTCTATGCTGTTTTGGTTAGTATAGCCTAGTAATAAAATGTGAAGTCTGGTAGACTGATGGCTCCCAGTTTGTTCTTTTTGCTTAAGATTGCTTTGGCTATACTAGGTCTTCTCTGGTTACATATGAAGCATAGATTTATGTATTTTTGATCTGTAAAGAATGATGATGACATTTTAATAGGGATTGCATTAATTCTCTAGATCACTTTAGATGGTATGGACATTTTAACAATATTAATTCTGCCAATCCTTGAGCTGGGTAGGGCTTTCCATCTGTTTACATCTTCTACAATTTCTTTCTTCAGCGTTTCATAATTCTCCCTAAATAGATCTCTCATGTCCTTTGTTAAATATATTCCTAAATATTTAATTTCCTTTGATGGTATTGTGAAAGGTGTTGCATCTTTGATTTGATTTTCAGCTTGACTGTTACTGACGTATATGAATGGCACTGATTTGTGTGCATTGATTTTTGTATCCTCAGACTTTACTGAATTTATTTATCAATTCCAGGAGTCTCTTGGTTGAATCCTTGGGATTTTCCAGATATAATATCATTTCATCAGCAAAGAGTGAGAGCGTGACCTTTTCTTCCTCAACTTGTTCATCCTTAATTCCCCTCTCTTGTCTGATTGCTCTGGCTAGGACTTCCAGCACTATGTTGAATAGAAGTGGCGATAGTGAGCAATTTTCTCTGGTTCCAGTTCTAAGTAGGAATGCTTTCAGTTTTTCCCCATTCAGGATGATAATTGGCTGTGGGTTTATGGTATATGATTTTAATAATTTTCAGGTATGTGCCAATTATGCCTATTTTGTTAAGAAGTTTTATCATAAAAATGTGCTAGATTTTGTCAAATGCTTTTTCTGCATCTATTGAGAGAATCATATGGTCTTTGTTCTTGCTTTTATTTATGTGGTGAATTGCATTTAGAGATTTGTGTATGTTGAACCATCCTTGCAACTTTGGGATAAAACCCATCTGATCATTGATGAATTATTTTTTATATGTGCTGTTGAATTCGGCTTATTAAGATTTTATTGAGGATTTTTGCATTTATGTTCATGAGGGATATCGGTGTGTAATTTTCTTTTTTTCTTGTGTCCTTTCTTGGCTTTGGAATCAAGGTGATATTGGCTTTGTAGAAGGAGTTGGAGAGGACACCATCCTTCTCAATGTTGTGGAATCAGTTCTGCAGTATTAGAATGAGCTCTTTTTAAGTTTGGTAAAATTCAGGTGTTTACCCATCTGGTCTGGGACTTCTTTGCTGTTGGAAGATTTTTAATTGCTGACTCAATTTCTGTGCTTGATATTGGTCTGCTCAGGAATTCTATTTCCTCCTGATTGAGCCTTGGGAGGTTGTGTGTTTCTAACAACTTGTCCATTTCCTTCAAATTTTGTAGTTTTGGGGCATGTAGATTTTTATAGTATTCAAAGATAATGGTCCTTTCCTTTCTAGTTCTTGTCAATCTAGCAAGAGGCCTGTAAATTTTGTTTATCATTTCAAAAAACCCAATGTTCAGTTTATTCATCTTCTATATAGTTCTTTTGTTCTTGATTTCATTTAGTTCTGCTCTGATCTTAGTTATTTCTTTTTTTGTGCTAGGTTTAGGATTGATTTGCTCTTCTCTTTCCAGTTCCTTGAGACGGTTTATTAGTTTGTTTATTTGTGAACTTTCTGTGTTTTGGATGTGACCATTTAATACTATTAGTTTTCCTCTTAGGAATGCTTTTGCTGTATCCCACACATTTTGATAATTTGTATCCCCGTTATTATTTAGTTTGAAGAATCTTTTGATTTCCATTGGGATCCCCTCCTTGACCAAATAGTCATTCACCAATAAATTGTTTAATTTCCATAACTTTGTGAAGTGCTGAGTGTTTCTGTTGGAAGTAATCTCTAATTTTATTCCACTGAGGTTTAAGCAGATATATGGTATAATTTCTTTCTTTTTTATTAAATTTTTTGAGATCATATTTGTGGCCTAGGATGTGATTCATTTTAGAGAAAGTTCCATGAGCTGATGAGATGAATGCACATTCAGTTTTGTTTGGGTGGAATGTTATGTAGGTGTCTGTTAGACCCATTTTTTTCTAGAACTCTGTTTAAGTTCATTGTTTCTTTGCTTATGTTCTGCTTGGAAGATCTGTTCAGTTTAGTCAGTGGGGTGTTGAAATTCCCAGCTACTATGGCATTACTGTTTATCATGTTATTTAGATCAAATAGGGTTTGCTTAATGTATCTGGGTACTCCTGTGTTGGATGCATAAATGTTATGAATTGTTAAGTCTTCCTGTTGGATTTTTCCCTCCACCACTATATAGTGACCAACTTTGTCTTTCTTTACTTTTGCTGGTTTAACATTTATGTTATCTGATATAAGTATAGTGAGCCTACCTTATTCTTGTTTTCCATTTGCCAAGAAGTTTGTTTTCCAACTCTTCATCTTCAGTCAGAAAGTATCTTTGTGGGTAAGATGCATTTCCTTACACATCAGAAAGACAGCAGAGACAGCAGATTCTTTGCTTGTGTTTTTTGATCCACTCAGCAAGTTTGTTTCTCTTCAGTGGAAGAGAAGCCATTGAAGCCATTCACATTTATTGAAGCCATTCACATTTATTGAGAGAATTGATATTTGGCTTGGATTTCTGTTCATTCTTCTCAATAAATTCTTATTGTTTTATTTTACCTCTCGAGTCATTGTGGAATCAGGATTCTGGACTTTAACTCTTGAGTGGTTTTATTTTTGTGGCTATCTGTAGTGCTGTTCAGTGTATAATGCAGGTCTGAGTACTTCCGACAGGGCAGGTCTAGTCCTTGCAAATTCTATCAGTGATTGCTTGTCTGGGAAAGTCTTTATTTCTCCCTCATAGAGGAAGCTTAGTTTTTCCAGGTAAAAAATTCTAGGTTTTGTTTTAGAAGATTGAGGATGGGTCCTTAGTTCTTTCTGGCTTATAAGGTTTCAGCTGAGAAGTCTGCAGTTAGTTCAATGTTTTTAGAGAATTTTGCATGCATTTCCTGTATTGTTCTAGTGGCTTCTTTGTGTTGGGTTTATATTTTCTCTTTACTTTGTGTTGGGTTTCCATTTTCTCTTTAATTCTATTGAGTTTTCTTACAATCTGTGTTTGGTATTCTTCCTTTGTCATTTTAGTCCTTTTGTTTAAGTTGGTATCCATTTTTGAGGATCTAATGATTTCTTTTGGGGGTGACTTTTCTCTCTTATCTCTCATTTTTCCTGGGTTCTTTCACTGATTCTTTCTCATCAGGCTTCTTGGTTGAGAACTGTGGGTGGTAGGACAGGTTTATGGCCCTATCTCCAAGTCCCCAAAGGACATTCCTTGACAGTGCTGGGGAGAGGTGCGCTGGTCCTGTATTGCCTTAGGGGTATTTTAGTAAGTTAGTTACTTCTGACATGTTGTCTTCACCTCTTGCCAATGGAGACTAGTGAGTTTGGTCCACTAGTTTAAGCTCCAAGCTAGTGGATCATAGTTGTGGGCATGACTTCACTGCCTTCCAATAGCTTCAGATGGAAGGCACTGTGTTAAGCTATGGAGTTTCCCTCTCCGTCTTTGATTGTAGGTTCTGTATTGAGGAGCTGGTTATTGAGGTAATCTGATGTCTCTGTGACAGACGCTCGTCCCCCAGATTGGGTGTACAAATGCCACCCCACGGGTTACTTGGACCCTATTCTCTCTTAAGGTGGGGGTAGCAGCAAGATAGAGCACAGCTGGTGCACATAAGCCAGGATGTGTGTGCCTCTATGGGTGTTTGATTTGCTGCTAGGGGATATTTTATTCAGGGTTCTTTTGCCACACTTGGAAGGCTGCTCCACTGATGGGAGTGGTCAGTTGGTGCCATTGCTGAGGTGTCTGGCCAGGTTTTTTTCTTCCTTGTCCGCAAATTCCAATGTTGGCGGCTGCCTGAGCTGGAGAGGAAGCCCTGGATTTATGTTCTTATTAGATGACAGAAGCTGATCCACGCCGGAATCAACAGGCTGCTGACTATTTTTCTTACCAGAGTCCTGCAGATTCACTCCCGTCACAGAGAAAGTAGCTTTTCTCGCTTCTCTCCACCTCATAGGGTGGAGCCCGCCACACCCGGCTCAAAAGTCCCCTGTCTGAGGAAGGGGTGTTGCCTGAGACCGCTGTGTGAGGCAGAGTCTCCCTGCTGGGGACCCCAATAATGGCGGCCGCCTGCCCCTGGAGAGCTAGCGTCGGAGGTGAGTACTGGAGAGCTGCCGGCTCACACTGGCCTGGCGAGATGAAGCAACAGGTCACTGACTATTTTCCAGCACTAAAGTACCACAGATTCTGGCCAGCGGCACAGAGAAAGGGGCTTTTCTCGCTTCTCCCCACCTCCAAGGGTGGAGCCCCCCGACCCCACCCCGCGCCTGGCACAAAAGTCCCCAGGCTGGGGGAAGGGTGTTGCTCTAAACCGCCACAGGCTGCAGCGTCTCCGGCTGGGGACCCCAAAAATGGCAGCTGCCCTCCGCCTGAGAGCTAGCACTGGGGGCTTCCACTCAGGACTTACCAGATTCTGGTCCGGTGGGCTTAACAACAGGCTGCCAGCTGTCACCTCGGCGTCACAGTCCCACAGTCTCAGGTCTGCCGAGCAGTGGGTCCTACTCTTTTTGTCCTGCCCTGAGCTGGCCGGATTGTCGGCGGTTTCCCTTTTGAGTGTTCACCTCAGACAGTGAGGTGGTCCCGCAGACCACCAGAGGTGAGGTGCCTGTCTCCACACCCCCTTGTGTGGTCGCCTTCTCAGGAAGTGACCACTCAGTCCAGTCCCTTCCCAGCCCAGTGTGGCCCCAGCACAGAGCACCGAGAGTTCAAAATGTTTCCCGCTGTTGACGCCTCTCCACAGAGCCTGTCCTCCGGTGCCATGGCTTTGCACCGACTTCAGGCGCTTCCCTCTCTGAGTGGGTGTGGAGGTCTGTGGGGAGCCGGCGACCTCCTGTGGGTCAGATCACACTGTGCTGGCTGGCTGGCCTGGCTGGTTTGTCCGTCCTGCAGTCTATTCCCTCTTGTGTATCTCGCACTTTCCAGTCTTTGCCAGTGTATCTCCCTTCCACCCTTTTTCCTGCGCCGCCTGTACCAGCTGTTTCCTGACAGATTCACAAGTCTTGTTCCTGGTGGGGAATGATCCACTCCTGTTTTGCTGTCTGAGATCTTTGCCTTCTTCTCTGGGAGCATTGAGCCAGGAGGTTACCACTAATTCACCATTTTTTCCTTTTTTTCCCCTTTTTTTTGTTTTAGCTGACTTAAGGCTTTTACCTTGATCTTTTCTTCATTCTCCTATTCTTTGCCTGGACAAAAATCCTCAAGTTTCTGCTTAGGTGCCCACCTCCCTGACCACTTATACAAGCATACCTCAGACACATGGCGGGTTCAGTACCAGACCACTGTAATGAAGTAAATATCTTGATATAGCAAGTCACACAGATTTTTAAATTTTCATGTGCATGTAAAAGTTATGTTTACATTATACTATAGTCTGTTAAGTGTACAATAGCATTATGTCCAAAAAAGTATATAAGTTAATTTAAAAATACTTTATTGATAGAAAATGCTAGTGATCATCTGAGTCTTCAGCAAGTTGTAATCTTTCTGCTGGTGGAGGATCTTGCCTTGATATTGAGGGCTGTTGATTGATCAGGGTGCAAGTTGCTGAAAATTGGGGTGACTGTGGCAATTTCATAAAATAAGACAACAGTGAAGTTAGCTGCATTGTTTGACTTTTCCACTCATGAAAGATTTTATCAACTATGTATGTGGAATATTCTAAATCCTTTCTTGTCACTTCAACAGTGTTCTGAGCATCTTCACCAGGAGTACCTTCCATCTTAAAAAATTACTTTCTTTGCTCATTCATAAGAAGAAACTCTTCATCCCTTCAAGTTTTTCCTGAGAGTGTAGTCAGTCACATCTTCAGGCTCCACTTCTAATTCTCGTTCCTTTGCTATTTCCACCACATCCTCAGTGACTTTCTCCACTGAAGTCTTGAACACCTCTATGTCATCCATGAGGGTTGGAATCTTCTTCCAAACTTCTCTTAATGTTGATATTTTCACCTGTTCCTTTGAAACATGAGTGCTCTTAATGGCATCTGAAATGTTGAATTTTTACAGAAGATTCTCAATCTTTTCCCAGATCCACCAGAGCAATCACTACGTATGCCAGCTAGAGCATCACAAAATGTATGTCTTAAATAATAAAACCCGAAAGTCAAAATGACTCCTTGATTCATGGGCTACATAATGGATATTGTGTTATCAGGCATGAAAACATGAATCTCCTTGTACATCTTCATTGGAGCACGTGGGTGACTGTATACATTGTCAATGAGCAGTAATATTTTGAAAAGAATCTTTTTTATTTGTGCAGTAGGTCTCAACAGTGGGTTTAAAATACTCATTAAGCCATGCTGTAAACCAGGAGTCCTCAAACTTTTTAAACAGGAGGCCAGTTCACTGTCCCTGATACCGTTGGAGGGCTGTTGGAGAGTGTGGGCGTACATTCCACACATGCGCACTGTAGGCCTAGGACGAATCGGCTGCTAAACAGGACAGGCAGCAGTGGCAAAAACACCCAGCGGGCCGGATAAATGTCCTGGGCGGGCCGCATTTGGCCTATGGGCTGTAGTTTGAGGACCCCCACTGTAAACAGATGTGCTGTCATCTGGGCTTGATTGTTCCATTTATAGAGCATGGGCAGAATATATTTAGCATTATTCTTAAGGGCCCTAGGATTTTTGCAATGGTAAAGGAGCATTGACTTCAACTTCAAATCACCAGCTGCATTAGACCTTAACAAGAGTCAGCCTATCTTTTCATTATTTGAAGTCAGGCATTAACTACTCTCTAGCTAGAAAAGTCCTAGATGGCATCTTTTCCTAGTAGAAGACTGTTTCACCTAAATGAAATTCTGTTTTTTACTCTCGCTTCCTTCGTCAGTCATCTTAGCTAGCTCTTCTGGATAACTTTCTGTAGTTTCATTTTGCACTTTGATGTTATAGAGACAGATTCTTTCCTTTAACCTCAGGAACCAATCTCTGCTAGCTTCAGACTTGATTTCTGCAGCTTCCTCACCTCTCTCAAGCTTCATAGAATTGAAGAGAGTTGGGGCCTTACTCTGGATTAGGCTTTGGTTTAAAAGAATGCTGTGGCTGGTTTGGTCTTCTATCCAGACCACTCAAACTTTCTCCATATCAGCAGTAAGACTGTTTCACTTTTTTTTTTTTTATCATTTGTGTGTTCACCAGAGTAGAACTGCTAATTTCCTGCAAGAACTTTTATTTTGTGTTTCCAACTTGTCTAGCTTTTTGACTCTAAAGGACTAATTTTTGGCCTGTGTTGGCTTTCAACATGCCTTTGTTACTAAGCTTAATAATTTCTAGCTTTTGTTTCAAAACGACAGACTTTGTAACTTTTCCTTTCACTTGAATAGTTAGAGCCCATTGTAGACTTATCAATTGGCCTAATTTCAATGTTGTTGCATCCCAGCGAATAGCAAGGTCTGACTAGAGGCTGAGAGATGCGAGAATGTTAAGTTAGTTGGTGTAGCAATTAGAACATATAACTTTTATTGCTTAAGTTTGTCATCTTATATGGGGACTACTTATGATAACCCAAAACAATTAGAATAGTAACATTAAAGATCACTGATCATAGATCATCATAACAGATATAATCATAATGAAAACGTTTGAAACATTGGGCGAATTACCAAAATGTGACACAGAGACACGCTGTTTGGAAAAATGATGCCAATAGACTTGCTTGACACAGGAGTACCACAGAATTCAGTTTCTAAGGCATACTTTATCTTTGAGGCACAGTAAAGCAAAGTGCCTTAAAACAAGGTATGACTGTATAAAGTGGTTTACCTAGACATTCTTTGACTCATTTTTTTTTGTTTCTGTCACTGATATAGCATGACATATAATTATTTTGTGAGTATTTACTCATTTTCCAACAGCCTT